GTGAAAACTGGTGAGGAATCATGTTACTGTGTATTGTTCTCAGAGTTCTGTGCAAAGTTATCCTGAATCGGATACAGGAGAAGATTGACGAAATTCTCCGGCGGCAGCAGGCAAGATTCCATGCCAGAAGATCTTGTATTGTCACGCTCTGGATCATCCTGGAGCAGGTCAACGGATTCCAAGAGTACCTCTATTTGGTTTTCATTGACTACGAAAAAGCTTTCAACCGACTCAATCATCTTCTTCTTTCCTTTATTTAACGTCGGTCTCTGACTCAATCATGAAAATCAGTGGGACGCCCTGAGACGCAAAGGAGTCCCGGATAAAATCGTCAACCTCATCGAAGCTCAGTACGAGGCTTGCATATGTAGAGTCCTGCATAACGGAGCCTTGTCCGACCCTATCCGGTGTGAGGCAAGGATGTATACTATCACCACTACTGTTCCTAATCGTAATCGACGAGATCATGGTAGGTGCAATTGACCGTGTACCGAACCGTGGCCTGCTTTGGTTTGGGTGATGATTTTGCGCTATTCAACGGCGCTATGATACGCAGAGTAACCTAAACGACCTAGCTGAACGCTCCTCTGCGGCGATTTTCACCAACAACGTCAACAAGACTAAATCGTTGGATATCAACATGGACAACCCTTCAGACTATACGGTAGCGGGGCAAGCAGTGGAGAAAGTCGAAAGTTTCCAATATCTTGGCAGCCATATAGCGTCTGAAGGTGGGACCAAGATTGACATAGGTACACGAATCAAGACGGCTAGGGCTGCTTTGGCGAGTTTACGAAATGTGTTGAGATCTAACCAGATAAGTCAACGTACCAAAATTCGGATTTTCAATTCAAACGTGAAATCTGGTGTGACGTGGTGTGTATCAGCGGAGAACACTCAAAAGCTGCAGGTCTTCATCGACCGATGCCTGCGCTATATAATTCGTGCCTGGTGAACAACTGGATCTCGAATGCTGAGCTCCATCGTCAGAATCCGATATCAACAGAAACTCGATAACGTAAGTTAAGGTGAGTCGGCCATATACTAAGAAAGGGCGGAAAAGAAATCTGCAAGCAAGTGCTAGATTGGAACCCGACAAGTCGACAAGAATCTGACCTGGGCTCAGGTCAAGGCAACAGCGAACAGCCGCCCGGATACATAATTAAGGGTGTACAGTCTGAAGTCCCACGGAGGTCAGACGCTGTTTTGGTCGGATTTGGTATCTTGCCATTACGCCCGACCAGTCTTAGACTGGTACAAAAACAACAATGTTGTTTATGTTCATGAAGAGATCCACCCTCCACCATGCCCTTTGGTTCAGTGAGGGTTATGGCGCGTTCTGCCAGGTTGGTCGAGGCAGATTTCAAGTGTGAGTAAGTGATGAACATTGTTATGTGTAATTCACTTTAAAAGGTGCGTTTCATATTTTATCACATGTAGTTCCAAAGAGCCTGAACATTGATACTAATTGTATAAAACACAAGTAAATTCTTCCAGAAATTAGTAGAAATAACATATTTAAAAAAAACTACATTGCAGATCCATTAACTTTAGGAAAATTATGAAAAGTGTTAAAACTTCCGAGGACTTTTGAAATGCAGGGTTGCTTCCACTCACTTGCTATAAAAAAATTATTTTCTGAATTTTGAAATTATTAGATGTTATAATGTTACTTTGTCTTTGTTAGATACAAGTAGAGGTTGAAAGGCAAGTGTTTGAAACATGAAACCTGTCAATTTCACTTCCAGAGTGTTAAAATCAGCAATTTTATGATTCGTGACCGCTCACTCAGAGTGAGCGCTCGCGAGTCGTAAAATCGCTTATAGTGACTATCTGAAAACGAATTTGACAGGTTTTATGTGTCAAACACTTGCCTTTCAGCCTCTTCTTGTTCTAACAAGTACAAAATATCATTATAACATCTAATGATTTCAAAAATCAAAAAAATCATTTTTTTTATAGCAAGTGAGTGGAAGCAAGCCTGCTGAAATGTACAACTTCATGGAACTCCAAATAACTCCAAGCAAGTGTAGATAAGTTCACGAATGTTTAGAGATTTTTATTGAAGTTAGGGATATTCAACTGGAGTGATAAATGGATAATTTAGTTTCGGCTCTACAGTCTTTAAGGCGAAGCTCTAATTACAGTTTTATCATCGCCAACAAGCCCTGATGATGATCCCAACCCCTGGATCGAAACGTTGATGATAATAAAACTGTAATAGGCTTCGACTCAGCTCGCTATAAATGTTGTTTCTCAATCTATGCGGTGGGTCTTGAGCTTTCCAAAAAACATGGTCATCCGGCTTTAAAATATCATGCAAAATGTATCTGAATATAAATTATGCAGGGATTATCCAAATTGAGCCTCAATAACAGTCAATTTTGGATGTAAATTTTTAGTTTAGCGATTCTGATGCCTTTCCTGGTGTTTTGACGTTTTAAAAGTTTTGGCATTTTCAAGATATTTTTTTTATCTATTTGTGTGTTGAGGCCGCTTGAAGTAGGGTAATTGATTCTGGTTGGACCTATCCAAAAACTGATGATGGTTGGACCTTTTTTTTCAATCGCTAGTTTAGACAATCTTTGCTAATTTTTTATTTTCAAAGATCACTTTACTATCATAAAAACTCTTTTTCTTCAATTTGCATGAGTGTTTTATTGAAAAAAAAAACTTCAAAACAATTGAGTTTCAATGTGTTTTCAAAACAGTTCACTTTCCACGCATTAGCTCGTCATCATGCCTTACTTTCAAACATACAAAAAAGGAATATTTTTTACATTTATTTTTATTTTCATGCAGTAAAATACCGCTTTAAGGTGTAAACAACACGTTAGTACCGCCATTTATCCATTGGTTTCACTAAAATGTTTGAATAATTGACGAAATTCGAATAGATAAATATGATCATGGTTGGACCTACGCATGATGATGGTTGGACCTATGTGTTTCCTAAGACGACCGCTAGGTGCGCTTCGGTTTGTCTACATCCTTCATGCGCAGCTGATTTGAAATTTCGATTTCGTTTTGGCCGAGTGATCAGTTTCTTCGATTGAAATAATGGCCAAAGAAAAGAGTTATACGGTCGAAAATCTTCAAGAGGCTGTTCTTTTAGTAAGAAATAAATCACCTTCCGCGTATCAGGCACAGAAAAGGTACAATATTCCGAAAACGACATTTCACGCAAAAATTATGGGAAGCCACGGCAAGAAATATGGAAGGGAAATAGGGTTGAGTGTTGATTTGGAGAAACAACTAGGGGATTGGGTTTGTATGTGCGCTGCTTCTGGCAGTCCCAAGACGACCAAACAGATCTTGGAAGCTGCTAAAGACCTTGCGTCACTAGTTGGGCGTAAATTTAAAGTAGGAATTCCATCGTCAGGTTGGCTGAAAAGGTAACCACCGATTTCCGAACAACCACGAAAGTGCCGAAAGAATCTGTTAATATGAATTTACATTAAGCACTTCTCATACACCTTCTGTGCGTGAATTAACTTGAAATAAAATGTAAACAAACTAAAAATTGCTACCTGAAACTTATTTCCGAAAAAAAAAAAACTTTAAAACCGGAATTAAGTTCTGATATTCTGTCATTTTAAGCCCCTAAATTCCCCGGGGGCACCCAGAACATGCCCGGAAGTGGCCAATGTGGTCCAAGGCACTCAATTTTGTTATTTGTCTTGTTATCGAATTTGGAAGTAATGTGAAGTGTCGTATGATAGGTTTTATTCCTTCCATGTCAAAATTAGCTCCATGTTCCATGTAAATGATTTCCGAGAAAATGAGCCATGATTAATAGCTAATGCGTGGAAAGTGAACTTTTCTTAAAAAACGAAGTTAAACTCAATTTTCTTGATTTTATTAAATAGCAAATTCATAAAACTGTATAAAAAGGATTTGTTCATGGTACCAATAAGCTCTAAACAAAGCTTTTGAAAAAATATGGGTCAAACTAGCATTTGCAAAAATAGGTCAAACCATCATCATTTTTTAGGTCCAACCAAGATCAGTATAGGTCCAACCAACATCATAATTCTTTGCCGAATAAAAACGTTTTATAAAATCATTTGGTCATAATATTTAATTATTTATGTTATTATTAGAAACAAGAGAGGTAGATCTTTCCCCTAATCACGCAATTTTCATAATTATATGTTTAATTCATAAAAAAAAATACGACATGAATGTTGACGTCGTGTGAAACCGGCCTAAATAGGTCCAACCATCATCAGTTACCCTACCTCTAGATTTCTCAAACTAACATTCTTCTGGTGCCTTAACCAACATATCACTCATCAATCAACGACAAAGCAATCGCAAAGTGTCGCAATCCGTATTCAATGGCTGACTGGTTGGCAAATTAAATATAACATGCTATTATGAATAAATTACAATTTAAACATCGAGAATGCAATTTTAATTATATCAGTTCTGCTATGAGTTGCTGAACAGTTATCGAACTCATTTTCACGTGCACTCCAGAAATTACTATCCACTCTAGGGAAGCGGTTGGTTTGCTTTAAGTGGTGGTTCCACAGACTGTGGTAAAATCAATTGGCTTTATTACTTGAAACGAGTTTTTATTGCATTTTAATGCAATTCGACGTTCATTGATTGCCATTCATGATGACCAGAAATGAACTAGCAACAGTGAATCCTGATAGTAAAACCAAAAACAAACCAAGCAAATTGAAATTATGTCTTGCTCCGGTGGAGACCTTTTTGGATGTGTTTTTCTCCCACGGAGCCTTGCACGGAATTACCTATTTGGGGAAGTCTCTACTCCATTCATTGGAAAAGTGAAGCGTCATAATACCATGGATGGACTGAATTGAAAACAGAAAGGATGTATTTTTTTTTTAGAATACTGTGGCTAGTGCTGATCGTCGTATCGCTATACTTCTGTGTTACGTTGAGTTTGGAATCTTGGGAACGATTCCTCACCAAAAGTACCGTTGTGGTGATTGAAAAGGATAACTACTATTGGAACATTTCCTTACCGAGTTTGACGATATGCCCTATGAACCGTATCGATCGGGAGCTGTTTGATGAATTTAGCACGTAAGTACTGTGTGAAAATGCCACATATGAAGACTATACTTGAATAGCAATTTGTAAACTGAATATGATCAAAATTAAGCTGAATGGTCAGCAATGAAGAAATTTCAGAATGTTCCGCCTCGCTACATCGAATATTATTAAAATTATAACAAAACAAATATCATCATGTTACCGTTTCTTAAAGCCCATCCAGAGGTAAATGGTTAGATGCCTCACCGCAACCCATTTCTTCAGCATTCGAACATAAAAATAAATATGCACCCAAACAAACGAAGAAAGAAAGCTCAAATCTATGAAAACGAACGCTTGCGGAAAAATTTCTTCCCAAAAGAAAACGCTCGAAACGGTGGTGGACGAAATGCAATAAAACAAAAGTTTATGACATTAATTTAACTGCTTTCTGATGTTCCACCATGCCACGTTGTCGCAATTTGAACTCTCCGGCGGGTGTTCTCTGGAACTCGCCGGCACCCAAAACGGTTCAGCGACCGACCGATTGTGCTCTCAGGAGATTTGCACAAGATTTACGGCATGGACCTGCGAAAGTTATGAACAGAACATTGAACAAAATGAGCGGAAAATCGAGCAATAACCGGGGGTTTCTTAGAGGAAAACGATTGGAGTGAAAATTTCATTTGCTTTCGTCTTTTCGTATGTTGTTTGGCAGCTTCCGGGTGGGAGGGAGAATTTGTATCCCCAAGTTTACTACATACGGTCGTAGTCAATGAAAACAAGCTACGCATAGTGAAAGCAGCATTACCACTTTATTAAATTAGTTCACATCCTTTCGTTGCAGCCGGACTTACATTATGGAAGACGAAAAGGAAGAGGTGTTCGAATTTATTGAATCTCTGGCAAATTCCACCTACATGAACTTTGGCAACATCAAGGGATCGGCGAACATCGATGTGAGTATGGGACGCTTGGATTTTGCTTTTAATTTATTAATGTCCAATTCTAACAAATACCAACAGTTAAGACTAGTTAAGACGTTTAGTTATAGACTTCATAGGCACATGATTACTATTAGTAGTAAACTAATTCTAAAATTTCAACCATTACGAGCAAGCTGGCTCAACGTCTCTAAACATGTTTTTTTAATGACTTTGTTCGATGAACAACGGGCTTTGTTTTATTGGCCTTAAATTCATACTGGTGAAGAAAATTGGGCTAGAATGGGCTCATTTTGAGATTCAGAAACCGCATCGAACATACGGGTTGAAAAATGCAGTATCTCAAAACTCCAAGCATGTGGAGTCAAACTATTTCCAAACTATTGGCATATTATTGCGTGCTGTCAACTTAGTGTTCTAGATGCACTTTCACAGTTATTAATTGAGAGCGTTCGATGGCTGTAGCATTTTTGCACTAGTATAATTTCCGTACAATTATACTCCATGACGAGGGAAGTCGACAAATTTTCCAACCCGAAAAATTTCTAGACCGGACCGGAAATCGAATCCAGCCACCTCCAGCTTGGTCTTGCTTTGTAGCTGCCCAAGCAACATTGCAAGTTTTATCAAGGTTTTATAAAATTCTACAACTCTAAATAATGGTCTAAAGAACCTTCATAAGACCAGAAATGTTACTTGGGTGTGCATTTATCGACTGAGCTAAGGGAGGGAAAATGATATGAAGAATTAATATATTCAGAAAAGTTTTAGAAAATATCATCAGAAGCAACTTAGCACAGGACGCCATCTATCTATTTGCATAAGCATAGTCAGTTTTCTACACAGAGGAGAGCAATTTTGTTGAACCTAAGAAATATCATACAATTATTTGTATTGATCCTACAATTCTCTCATAACTCTCAATAGTTCTCACAAAAAGTTGTTTGATTTTCTCTCCATAATTCTGTATAAAATACCCAAGAGAAACCAGCAACTCGGGTCAGCTAAGAGCTGACAAAGTATTCACTTCAGAACAGTCCTGAAGTTTTACACAGATTTGTTTTGGAAACCTCCTAAATTTTCCCTAGAAGTTTTGGTCAGCATTATCTTCGAATGATAAAAAAATATTAATTTGCCTTCAGAATTTTCTTGGAACACTCTTCCACTCTTCCTTCTTTCGGAATTCCGTTGAAACTCTCCTAAGAATTGCCTTGGAATTTCCATTGAACTATCCTTAAAATTCCCTTAGAATGCAATTTCTGGAAACTCTTCTAAAAATTGCTTTCCGCTCCAGAATTTGTTTAAAGTAATCTTCAGAGTTCGATTCTCTTAGATGTATGCATAGTTTTCCTTTAATTTATCCTTAAAATTTGTTCCGGGTCATTTGGCCGAATGCCGTTTGGTTGAATGGCGTTTGGCCGAATTTTATTTGGCTGAATGCCGTTTGATCGAATTCTGATTGGTTTGATTCGATAATTGATTGACGATCATTAAACGAAGATTTATGCGACTTTATTTCTTCACATGCTTACTAACTTGAGTAAAGAGAAATGTTTTATGGTGGTGAACTCCAACTGGTATTATCCCCGTATTATGGTATACATAACTGGTATTATGGTATATATAACTAAAAGTTTATCTTTAAAAGAATAATAAATCCATAGACAATATAAAATTTCAGTTTCATACAATATACAATTTAACAAAAAATCTCATATTTATAATGTCAATAAACCAGAAATATGGAAAATAAAAAAAGTCCACGATCGCCACATTCTACTAAGCTTTGGGTTTGGGATTTTCTTCTTCTTCTTTCCTTTATTTAACGTCGGTATCTGTTCTGCGATCTAGTACCAATGACCGACGGACGTCGATTGACATCCAAAGACGGTAGGAAGCGGCGCCGGTGGTGTAGTGGTAAGCGTGATTACCTCTCACCCCAGCAGGCCTCGGTTGAATCCCAATCGGCGCCACCGGGATGTTCTGAGGCATAACATCTCTGATCACGCCTTCCTTCGCAAGGGAAGTAAAGCCGTTGGTCCCCGGTTCATGAGATGATGGATCGAAAAGTAGGGTCCAGGTGTGGTAACTGCCGCCCTGGTGTCGGTGGCATTGGTGCTCAGCACGGGAAACAAGATCGACGGAAAACAAATCAAGGAAGAAAAAAAGACGATAGAAAAGGATTTTGAGGAAACTTATTAGAAAATCTGGGAATGTTATAGAACTACAGAAAAATTCGATAAAGTTCTGATAAATGCGCAGAAGTGGAAACTTTATTTAAGTTTGAGAAGCTTTGTAGAAGTTAAGGTAACATTATTTTATTACAGGCAAGCTCATTATTGATCGGGAACCTTCATATCATTTCAGGGCTCCTTTTAAGCCCCATGGTCTTGGAATAGTTTTGAAAATTACGCACAAATTCAAGAAATTTCGTTCGTGAAACTACGCGGAAAATCAACGAAGAACGTAGGAGTACGGCACACTTTGTAGAAGTTTTGCGAATTTCGTAGCATTTTGAGGAGCTGCGTAAAACTTCATATAAGTGAAAGGAATTTTGTAAAGTTCAAGGAATTTTGTAGAAGATCTAAGGATAGTTCAATAAACGTTTATGAACTTCAGAGATCTTCGCTTCAGTATAGGGAACTTCATTGCAGTTTTTCGGAGATCCTTATTAGCAAATACTCCATGAACTTCTTGGAGGTTTTGGGAACTTCGTTAAATTTCAAGGAACCTTCCAGGTGTTCAAGAATATTTGTAGATGCTGGGTGCCTTTTCAGAAGTGCAAAGATGTTCAGAGATCTTCTTAGAATTAAGAGAGATTAACAAAGCATGGAATTTGGAATAAAATCAGGGAACTTCGTAGAAATTGAGGAAATTTAGTAAAACTTAAGGGAGTTTTGTAGATGTTCAGGAAACTTTGCCAAAGATACTGGTTATACTTTCAAGCATCCTTCCTAGACAGCAGAAAATATTCAAAAGATCACCATACAGACGAAGATATTAGTAAAGTTTTCTGGGTATTTTTCCAAGACTTTGGGTTGATCAAGTTCTGAGGATCTCCAACTATTTAAAAATTCTAGTTTCTTTCAAGACTGTAGGTTGTTCAGCAAGTACTGTAATCTGGGGGCAAATTGATCATTATGTGTTGCACTTTTAATTGTCACGTACTTAACGTATCTTTAGAGAATATCTTCATGAGACTCCAATGATTGCCTTAATGTGTTTTAATAACAAAAAAAAATATTATTGAATGAATTTCAATTTTATACAGCTGACGTTAAGTAGCATACAATATCAACATCCAAACAAACGATGATTGGACTGCAAAGATTGATGTCATTACCATTCAAGTAGCATTTTTTATTAAACTAAGTGATCGCGCACGGGAGAGATCCCTACGTTGTGTTTATGATCGTTGTGATAGGCACGGAGATGGAAATAAATAAAACACACAGTTTGCTTGACCGTCCTGCCATGGCGGAGGTATTCGAGATACTATATTGTTTTCTACATTTCTTTGTATAGTAGTTACAGTAGGTAGGGTAGTTGTACATATAGATGACGTTGCACAAACACTAAGTGTCAATGAATTCGAATTATTTAATAAATTGCGGTAGAATGTTTCATATATCAAGAAATCCAGGGCTTATCGCAAAATTGCCAGTGTATTTGAATGACATCTATTTTTGGCACAAGGGTTTTAGCATCTAAATCGGATTCAGGGAACCCACATTCAATAAGAAAAATTACTAGAAATGCACCGGGAAGCCATTTTAGGGGTTGATCAATTTCACCCCATATCGATATTTTCAAATTTAAGATTTCAAAAATTTCCTAAAAATTAACAAAGCATCCAAATACTTTTGTAAAACTAAATTCAACTATTATCTTATTACAAACAGGGACACAATCATTCAAGTTAAGAGTTCATTCCTTTCGATTAGAATTAAAGTTAAACCTTGATTGACTCCGAATGTTTGTTGCATCGAATAATGCTTTATTACTTCCTTTCTCTTCAAATGTCAGAATCATGACAAATTATAGCCTGACTTTTCATAATTTTTGACAGATGTCAAATTTTTTCAAACATTATCCTAAGTTCTAAATGCATGAAATTTATTCCGTGTGCCCTTTACCATGTTTAAAATTCAAACTCCTAGAATTTAATTTTGGTTCCTATGTCTGAGATTTTACTGATGATTAAATATTCAAAATAAAAAAAAGTTAGTTACAAAATGCATGGAATAACCTAACTCTGAGCATTTTCTTATTTTGAGATGCTTAAATTTTTGCAATCCGGACGCTATGTGATTTCATTACAAAAGGCATGAACAAAGGATCATTGCTTGTTCAAATTCAGTAAGCTTTAAAGGCTCCCCTCAAATTTCTAATGCAACATATTTGAAAAAAAATCCTGAAAATTGATTTTAGTACTGCATTTTTGCATTTGAATACGGTTGACAAACATGCAAGATACCTTGCTAAAACATAATTGAAATGGGTTGAAATATACTTTTACGTTTTGGGTTAACTCCTCTTATTAGAAGTTTTATTATTCGTTTCATTTATTCGTCAAATTTGAATGTGGTGTGACACAAGAAAAAGGATTAATTTGTTCATGCCCAAATGCTTACTAATCACTGATTTGCGCTTTAGAATATTCCACTAGAAACCCAACTCACAAATGTTATGAACAACCCTATTCTGCATCTGTGTATCTATCTGAAAGCACTGAAATTCACTCCCACCGTGCAGCGCATCCTTTCGATGCTTCGAGTTACGCCAAAGGATTACATGATGCTTATCGCCAATCTGACGAAGGACCTTACCCGGCGTGACCACCAAGAGCTGCGGGTACGCAGTCTGAACAACCTCGAGTACATCCTAACGGTTCAGACGCTGACTGAGTACGGAATTTGCTACACCACCAATAGCTTCATCGCACCCAATTTAACGACGAGGTAATTTGTTTGTGCTTTATAACCCGGTACACACTCCATCAACAGGCCACCCAGCAGCAGCGGTACGGTACTACCTACATATACCGACGTCGGCCAAGACCGACCACAACCCAACAACCAACAAGACCTCACTGTATAGATGGGTTCCCATTTCTCTTCATCTTCGCACCTCATAAAGCTATGAGCATTCTAGGTTAGGTACCGTAATGGTAGTCCTTCTAGGTGGCACGATTATTCATGATTTAATGACAAAGATACTCCTTCCACAAGCCATCTATCCTAGAAAGAAAATGAACCCGGTATCATCCAGAGTGATGAACTGAATGGTAAAGCCATTAATTGTTTACACTCAACGTTAACTTCACTAGAATGCACCTAATGTTCTCTCCATTACGTCGAAATAAAATCAAACTGAAGAGAACGCCTCAAACTGCCTAATCAGTTTGATAAATGTTTATTTTAAATTTTCCTTAATCGAATAGATGCTCTTTCTGATGTCAGTCTATATCTATCTAAACCTAGAGAGGGAAAATGAAGAATCTAGTTCAGTGGTGATATTTTCTCGTTTTGGTCGGTTTAAGCGGTAAGAATCACTCCCCTCAACAGGGTGCCTTCCATTCATTTTGACTAAAAAAATGTTTTAGGAAATTATGGAATAATACGATATTATGATGTTATTTTGTATGTGTAAAGAACAAGACCAATTTTTAAAGTTTGTGTTTGACACATAAAACCTGCAAATTTAGCTTTGACAGAGCCACAATGAGCGATTTTCTGATCGCCTCTCGCGAAGAGTGAAGAGTGAAGAGTGGGTGAGATAAATGACAAAATCGCTTATTGCGACTCTCATGCAGCAACATTGGCTGGTATTATGTGTCAAACACAAACTCCACAATATTTTCTTGTTGCTTACACAAACAAAATATTATTATAATATCTTATTATTCCATAATTTTATAAAACATTTTTTTTTGCCAAAATGAATGGAAGGAACCCTGCCCCTCAAACACTCTGAAAGCAGGGATTTGATGTAAAGTGTGGTCTAGTAAGAATCCATAAGAACAGTTTACACGGTGTCTTTATTAGAATAATATAACAACAAAAATAGGTATTCCCGAAAACTTCACAATTGAGAAAAGAGGACGATTCCCGTCATTTTTAGACTACTAATGATATATTTCATTGGGGCACTTTTAAATACAAAATATAGGTTTAACGTTTATTTATATGGGCCTTTTTTCTTACAGTCTATTTGTATGTAAAATACCGAGACTTTTTTTGTTCCAGACCACCCGATGAAACCTCGAGTACTCGATGTTAAATTTCTGCCATATTGAGAACAACTAAGTTAAAGATCGAAAGGTTATTTTTTAAACTTTTCTGAAACAATTCGTTTAACAAAACTATTGTTGGCGTTGTCAGTGAATAAAAACGGTGAACATTTAGCAGGGATTGTAAAATCACACTTTTATGTTGAAGTACGTGCTGAGCAGTTCCACGCCAAATGACGAATTGAAAAAAAAAACTCGATCTTCTTCGATTTGCATAAAACCTTGCATTATTGTGTGTTAGGGTAATAATTCAAATTTTACAAGAATTCAATCATTTTGAATGTTGTATTTTTTCACAATGAAGTCTTTGTATTTTTTCAATAAACTGTAGCACGAAAACGTTGTCCAAGGTGCATCCCTTAGCTCAGAATGTAAAGGTGCAGCTACAAAGCAAGACCATGATGGTCGTGGCTGGGTTCGATTCACGGTCTGGCCTAGGAATTTATCGGGTTGGAAAATTTATTGGATTCCCTTGGCATAGCGTTGTGATTGTACTTGCAACACAATTATACGAATGCAAAAAAAATGGACAGGCGTTGAAAGCGCTCAATTAATAACTGTGGAAGTGCATCTAGAACACTAAGTTAAGAGCACGTCATAAGCTAATATGCGATAAGCAATAAACTTGAAATACGAAGAAGAAAAAGAATAAGAAGAAGACTTCTGATCTAAATAACGTCTACATGGTATTTTTTAAAGTAATTTTAAGTAAAATAAAAAAATAAATTCTACGATTTTTGTCAATTTTTAAGTTTACTTTTCTTAACATTTTTGCCAGAGTCGTCATTTCAATCAGAAGTGCTACTATTTATTAAATAATGTCAAAGACAACATTTTGAAGAAAAAAATGCTTGATCCAAAATGACCGATTGTGTGCAAAAATGTGAATGATTAACCACAGACAAACAGACATAACACTGGCAATTTGTTCATCGAACACGCATTTAACGGTCAATTTAAATGTTTTTAGTTGGTAATACCGCCACCTGTGCCGCGCATAGTCAATAACCCTTGCGTTTGACGTTTACACACTACCGCCATCTGTTCAGCGTACTACCCATCACAGTATACTCAACAGATGGCGGTAGTGTTTTAGCAACGATGTTTTAAATTGAAAAGTATTCAATGTGTTATGTCTGTTTGACTGTGGATTAACCATAACACATAATTATGCAAATTTTCATGCAAATCGAAGAAGGTCGAGTCTGAATTTTATTTTACATTATTTTTATCCTATTTTGGCCTGGAACTGGTCTGCTAAAATATGAAAAGAATCAAATGGGACATTTTGACTACCTAAGTTGTATTTCGGACATGTTACATTAGATGGTTTTTCTCAACGACATAACCAGGCCTGCCATGTGGGTTACTCAGGAGGCCGATGAAGCACTTCTCGTATTTTCTGACCGAAATCCGAGCCAAATTGAGTACTTTATCTAACTGCGCCTATACCATCACTTTAGTCTGGGTCCCATCTCATTGCTCTATTCCAGGTAACGAGAAAGCGTTATTGTATCGCTATGGAAGGCGATATTTTTGATCGATAAATCACCTTTGCAGAATTTTTCTCAATTACCCGTCAGCAAGTCCTCACCAACTGGCAACAAAAATGAGCCGTGACTTTATACGTGTCATGTCGAGGCTCATGTCCAATCACTGCTCGTTAGATTCGCATTTCTTTTGAATCGGGCTCGCAGACAGCAATTTGTGCGTTTATGGTAGTGGTTATCACGAGATCGACCACGTGCTTTGGTCATGCACCCTTCATCCGAGTTATCCGCATCCCTCAGGGCCCGATTAAAACAACCTATGCGGCCTGTTAGAGACATCTTGGTGAGCCGAAATCTCGACTATTGCAATTTAATTTATGTGTTTTTAAAACGGATATATCTGAGGATTTAGTAGTTAGTGTCATCTTGTGTTCCCCCAAGTTGTTAGCTGCCCATTGGTGTACCCCCATGTTTGTCTTTTTATCAGTTTGCCGCTTAGTTCGAGATCAAGAGCACATTGCTCTCCAAACCTTGTGTTCTCAATGTCTACCCTGCCATCCATTTGTTACAATTTGTTACCCCTAACCTCGAGAAAGCCACGAGTAAGCGACCCCGTTAGGTTTAAGTAATTTTGTAATCTAAACAATGAATATCAGCTCCGCAAAGCTACGGAAAATGAGCCTGGAAATAAACGCATTATATAAAAAAATGTGGGTTACTCATGGTTACTCCATGCTCTCCCATAATCCAGGCTGCACGATATTTTTTTAAATGTTCCCACAATTTACCTCAAGTTCTCTGGATTTCTGTGATGTTATCTGGACTTCCTTGAAATTCTCCAGGTATCCCTGAAATTCTCAGAACTTCTTGAAAGTGAAATTAGTTAAATCACCTTAAATTTTTCGAAACTTTTCTGAACTTCCCCAATGCATTGCAATGTTCCAAAAGTATGTTGATTATACTTCTCTGAGATTCTCGGCATTTACTTTCAATCCTCGTAACGTCTATAAGTTTCCTACAATTTTCATAAAGTTAATGGGACTGATCTGAAGCTCTACAACCTTCCCCGAAGTTTTTGAAACCTAGCATAAATATTAACTAACCACCTGATGATGTTCTTGAAACTGCCCTGAAATTAGTGAAATTATAATAAAGATCCCTAAACATCGCTGGGCTTTCGTGAATTTATTGGAACTTCTGCGGTGTTTAAGTTTTTTTTATGTTCATTTAAGTTCCCTGGACTTCTTCAGGCTTCGCTGAAATTTTCGAAACTTTTTGAAGGATTCCACTTTATTTGATGGGAGCAAAACCTTTCTCATTTGCTGGTGAAATTTTCCCACACTTTTTTTATCACAATATTTTTTTTTTTTGATTTTCCAAGGAACCGATTGACATTTTGAATTGTCTATACAGAGTGCATATACATGAGGTGGCCCAAATAAAATCAAATTGTATTTTATGATCGTAGAACATTTTACACAGTACACTTGAAGGCAGATTTTTTTTTACAAACGTTTGTTTTTTGGTTTGTCTAGGCAAAATAACGAAAATAAAAATTGAATGTTTGAATCGACCTCTCCGATCTAGATGGGCAGTTTCGACAACTTCAGGAAATTTTCGAGATCTTAAGAAAGGTCTAAACTTTTGGGGTGGTTTGAGTACCTGTCAGGGTGGGTTTAGAATTTTAGAAAATTTAAGAAATTTTTAAAAAATTGTACAGAAGACCAGGGAGCTAAAGGGAAGTTTTAAGATTGTTATGACAGTCACAAAATTCGAAATTTCTTCCATAGATGGATTCCCCGAGTCATGTTCTCAGCTGAAACTCATCGTCTGCTTTGTTTCCACCGTCATCTCCACTAGCTTTCAACGAGGAGGTAGGTAGGGTAGAGAACTACTTCGGCCTAATCGCCCATTTTGGGCCTATCGAGCAGAAACTTCAAATAAATCCATGATTTCAGAGTTAACAAGTCAATTATGCGTTTGGTACGATACTTCCCAAGCAACAATTTTTGTTTTATTTAAGTTTTATAGCAGTTGATATAACCAAATTATAAAACCTTCACTGACGACCACATTGCTTTAACAATCTCCTGAGAACCGCAATACAGCCATGTCATGGCCAATTGGCCCAGTTTTAATGCAGTCATTAAAACTTGATATGCGAACTACTTTAGGAGCA